GAACTGAACCCCGGGGGAAACATTTTTGGGTTTCTGCGGACGTTCTGAATGGGTGAGTTGGAGTGAGCGTGAGCGCCCACACAGCCCACCTCTACCAAACTCGGCTTACAGGTCTCATCTTTCCTCTTCAAATCCATCCCGCCCGAGCCTGGCCCTGCCATCCTGCCAACCCCGCCACCCCCCACCCAGCACCCCGCCTCTGCAGAAGCCTGGTGTGTGTGGAGGCAGTGGTTGTTTTCCACCTGGGTTCACCCCAGGTCGGAAGGCCTTGATCAGGGGTCTGGAGTCAAACACCCATCTACTCTTGAAGCCGGGATCTCCCCCGGAATACTCGAGAGTGTTGCTAGAATTCTCCCTCTCTGCCACCTGGCTTCCCCATTACCCTGTATGACTGTGTCTGCCCCCCCCACACCCCCCATCCCAGTGTTTCTTTAAACGGGGAAAATTGCTGACCTCCTTCACCAGGTTGAAAAGACAGATGATCATAAAAACATTTTCAAATGCAAAATTCTTTGGAAGTGTTGTACAGGCAAAAGTCTTAGTTTTAGGTCTAAGCTGCCTAGGGTAGGTGTTCTGAATGCCAATACATTACTTCAAACTACTAAGTATTTCCACTAGGGCACACAATGGCACCAAAAAATGAACGGGTCTCTTTCAAGACCTAATTTACTACCACCGAATGTGTTAGCACTGGAGAGAAGCAAATAAATGTTCTCTGGAGTCTAGAAAATTGCCTATTCCTAAGAATGAGTATTAGGGGAGAACAAGTCTAGCCCATTAGACCTTTAAAAAGTGATGAAAAAGTGTGTGTGTGTTTTCAGGCTGAGTATTGGATAGAGAATGTGTTTTTCAGGAGTAGGTTAAGGAAAATAGTTCATTTACTTGACTTGAGTTATATTTCAAGCAAAGTATCTAAATCTATAACAAAGAGGAAAAAAATCCTGAATCTGATAGCTATTTCGATTACATTAAAAGCTAAGGAAACTGATCCTATGGATTCCATTAAGATTTCCAGGTATGTTTTTCTTCACTGGGTTTTGAGTGCATGCCGGAGGCTCTGTAGGTGGGCTCCCTTGGGTTCGATCTCAGCTCCCTGACTCGGCAGCTCTGCAACCTGGAGCATGTTACTGAACCACTCTGGGCCTCAGTTTCCTCCTCTGTAAAATAAGGATATCCTCACAGGGTTGTTGGAAAGATGAAATAATATAATGTGTGGAAAGGACTTAGCAGAGCACTTGACACAGTATGCACTAAATACCACAGACAAAAATCACCCTGTAATGTTTTTCCTATGCATACGCGGGTGGTAAATATATCCCACAGAGAGCCAGGGATGTTTCCCCAGAACTCAGGCCTGTTCTGCTGTGCTTCTCCTTCATTGGACCACACACAGTCCTGAGTGCAGGTTCCACTCGGCCCGCCGACTCCCTGTGGGTACTGCAGCTGCCTACCCATTGATCGGCACTGTGATGGTAACTATTCTCCACAGACCTCCTTATTGGGACCATTCGTGGCTCTCTGCTTGCCTCTGCTGGGGGAAACTGGAAAGGAGAGCAACCTGAGGTGAGTTTCTAGTCCAGTAGAGAATCTCACGTTGAAGGAAATGGCTTTCCCTAGGCAAGGCAGGAAGGGAAGTGAGGTTTCCTGAACAAATCCAGGGAAATAAATGCCCAAACTCATAAAAAATGGAGGATATTTCATCATGCTGGGCTCACCTCAAATTCAGTAGCTTACAATGCTTTAAAAGGGAGGAGGGGACACTAGGAGAGAGCATGACAGCCCCGTGCCCTTTCCCCACACCTCGCCCTGTGCATCTCTTGGCTGGCTCCTCCTGATTTATATCCTTTTGTAATAAATTGGTGATGTAGTATTTTTTTTTAAAGGAATAGTCTAGAAATCCAAGCTTCTAGATTTTCCATTATCATCCTGGCTCAGCTACTTTCAGAGCCATTATACAGAGATCTTCTCTTTCTCTTTCTCAGGCGTGTCTTCACGTGTGCACATATGTACACACTCAGAGATGAAGGAGCTGAGATTTGGGGACAATATTAGCAAAAAGAATCACAGAAACTAGTGGAGACAACAAAGTTTGCTTTCACCAGGGTCTTTGTAAATGAAACACCTAACTCCATGCCCTTACCTCCGTCACTCAGTGGGGCACTTTGGCATCCTCCCCAGCTGAGGTCAGCTTGGACTGCGGCCGATTTCAGTAGAACTGGGAGATATCTGAGGAATAGTTGCTGGAAGTCTCTCCCTCAAGAAGCCTCCAGGTATCAGTCTCCCAATTCGTTATACTGATTTCTCTTACCAGGGAGACCAGTGCCTGCCCCTGCTCCCCGCAACCCCCAGCCCAGCCACACTGAGCATGCTCTCTGTTTAAACAGCCAGCAAGGGCACCACTGTGGGACCTGCCATAGCAACCGCTGAATAACCAGAAGGATGCACCCATAGGTAGCTCACTGCTGAGACTCAACACGGTCAGACCATAGGACTTCTTATTAGTAAAACCCTATGCCTCTTCTAGACTCCCACTCGTGTTTCCCAGTCTGGGTGACTAAGTGATGTGCTCAGTTAGCAGAAGGATTTCTGCCTTATCTCAGGATTAGAAGAAACAGGACAGACTCCATTCCCCGTTATCTCAGTATTGTCCTCCATTCACATCCTTTTTATTTTCTATCTCTGATAAACACAGAAAGAGGGGCAGAGACTCTGAAATGACAAGGAAAGGGGGGAAGGCAAATTGTCCAAGATATGTGCATATTTGGATTGGGGAGCCAAAGAAACAATCCTAATGGTAATTCATATTAACCCACAGTACCATTTCAGGTTGTCCTTTGTGTCCTGGCCACCACCTTCATGACTGTATTAGTTTGCTCAGGCTGCCATAACAAAGTCCCATAGACCAGGCGGCTTAAACAATAGAGACTTAATTTCTCACAATTCTGGAGACTAGAAGCCCGTGATCGAAGTGTTGGCAGGATTGGCTTCTTCTGGGCCTCTCACCTGGTACCTGGCCATTTTCATGTTCACATTGTCTTCATGTTCAAATATTCAGTGCCTGTCTGTGTCCTAATCTCCTCGTATCAGAAGTCACATTGGATTAGGGCCCACCACATGACCTCACTTTACCTTCATTACCTCTTTAAAGGCCCTATCTCCAAAAAGACAGTCAGGTTCTAAGGTATTAGGGATTAGGACTTCAGAGTATGGATTTGGAGCTGGGGGTGGGAGGGGAACACAATTTAGCCTATGACAAGGAATGAATTCAGGAGCCTCATCAGATAGTTCCTGTGCAGTTAGTTTTTAGGAATGATTTCATTCTCTCAGAACAGGAAATGAAAGTTGTGTCTTTCTTGTGGCTTCTTGATAGGGGGTCTAGACTATCAATGTGGAGGATTTTGTGATGGAAAAGCCTCAGAAGAAAGATTCTTCCCTTTATGAGACTAAAGCTGAGCGACAGACTAGCAACCACCAACTAAGCAATACATGTTGTATTAAACTTTTACCGTCAAAGTTATGTTTTGGGAGACAAGATATAACTTGCATTTAGGAATCTTTGCAGGAATGAGTCATTCTCTGTATTATTAAGGTAATGCTAGTTACTGGAACAGATAAACCTAATTCTCAGGGGTTCACACCAGAAAGATTTATTTCCCTCTCATGTAAAGTCTAATGGGCAGCAAGGAGGTGGGAGTGGGGGTGGCTCTGTTCCACAAAGTCATTTAGGCACCTAGGGTGGCAGAGGCTCTTCAACAAGGACTCACACTGTGGAACTCAATTTAAAAGCAAGACGTTGCTCTTTATGAGATCTGCCTTGCAGGATCCAGGGGAGTTCCCATCAACCAACGACTGGGAAACACCCACCCCAGGTTCCTCACATATCAAGATTGCAGGCTTTCTCTTTTACCCAAGTATATATAACACTCCCTCTAAGATTGGCTTGTAGATAGCAGGGAGGAGGGGCTCTGTAGAGAAGATGGAACTTTGGGACATACAATAGGGGAGGAGAGAGTTGACCCTGTAGTCACAAGTTAGCAAACTTCAAAAAGGCTATTGGAAAGGAGTGGTAATACACACTTGAAAGAAGTCACAATATTTGTTCAGAAAATAATTTGAACCTATAAAGGGACTAAGCCATTTGTCTAGTGAAATAAAACCCTGAAGATCTCTCTGAGTTTTTTTTTTTTAACTTTATTGGGGAACAATATGTTTTTTCGGGGAACAATGTGTTTTTTCCAGGACTCATCAGCTCCAACCCAAGTTGTCCTTCAATCTAGTTGTGGAGGGCGCAGCTCAGCTCTAAGTCCAGTCGCTGCTTTCAATCTAGTTGAGGGGGGGGGGGCGCAGCCCATCATCCCATGCAGGAGTCAAACCTGCAACCTTGTTGTTAAGAGCGCTAAGAGCACACCCTCTAACCAACTGAGCCATCTGGCAGCTCAGCAGCAGCTCAGCTCAAGTCATTGTCATCAATCTAGTTGTGGAGGGCCCAGCTTATTGGCACATGTGGGAATTGAACTGGCAACCTTGTTGCTCAGAGCATGCCCTCCTCCAACCATCCAGCCATCCCTGAAGATCTCTTTGTTAATTGAGATTTTTAACTTTCAAAACACATAGCAGTGAAGTTCCTTTGAATTTGAAAGGCTGCCCCAGGCATTGACCTCCTGCTGGCAGAGAGGAAATAGAGGGTGAAACAGAAGGTTTTAAAGGGTTACCTAGATGTGCTGGACATCACTTCTGCCCACGTTTGATTGGCCAGAACTCAGCCACAAGGCCCTGCTTAAATGCACGAGGG